TAAAGCAGTCATACGACCCTTATCACGTACGGTGCCGTTGCCTGGTGGCAGAGAACAGAGTTAAGCACCGTCATCAATAGATTGCAGCAATTCAAGCGACTCCCATGCTCCGCGGTCACTGGCTGTATGCGCACAACGCCATCTGCTGCACTAGAGGTGGCTCTTGGTCTGCCCCCATTGGACTTGTTCATACGGCAGGAGGCAACTATGGTGATCAGTAGACTCAGACACCTGGATCTGTGGCACAAAGGTGAGGGATCGCATTCCAAATTATGGGATCAATTGGTGGAATATGAGAAACTGTCAGCAGCCCCATGCGACAGGATCCTGAAACACCATATCTTCACAATATATTACATTCTGACATAAGAAAATGACCAAGATCACTCTGGCATAAACGAAGTCCAACTTTACACGGACGGTTCCAAGACTGGGTCAGGAACTGGAGCTGGAGTTTTCTCACAAGACCTAAACATGAACATATCACTAGCGTTAGGCCAACGCCGTAACAACCGGGGAAAAAAATTTTTTTTAAAGTAATTTTGTAATAAAATAAATATTTTGATTAATGTTTTTCCAAATTAATGCAATAGGTATACTTAAATAATAAAATAACTAGATTTTTTTGTTATAATGTTTATATCCTGTAAAATTATTATTATAAAATTGATAATTAATTAAGAAAATACAATGAATTATTTTTCTTGTACAAAAGTTTCCAGTACTCCTAAGCTTGGAAGGAGGTGAACGTTCAACCGGTGCCTACAAAATAAGATCGCTCCAGACCTATCAACTACCCTTCTGGTCCGTTCTTACTACATGTTATTATTATTACCAAAATATTTAAAAACAGTACTCAGCATATTATTTCATAAATAACGAATTCTCCCACTGATGTGGGCAAACCAAAACGATGTTTTAATGGTAACACTGAACCTAAATTACAATGATTAATTTTTTAATTCAATTTTTTTATTTTTAATACATAAACCATCAACTCACGTGTAAAAAGTAATTCTGCTATATTTATTATGGTTTTGTGACCTTGAATCGCATTCTTTCACTACGCATTTACCCATTTTGGCGATTGTTATTGTCACGTGTCGCTATGTTCAACTCGGTTGGCGCCACATTGAACACTTAACTGACGTTTGCTGCGCATATGGCTGTAAACAAATGTGCAGTGGCAACGCTTTTGAGCGGTAATTACTTATCTAGTGTAATGTATATCAATGTCGTGATTAGTTTATGTTGATGTTCGTTCTGTCCTGTTTTAGTTAAATCTGAAAATTATGTCCGGCTACTCTCTATCGTCTATCTATTTTGTTATATGATTTCATGCCTTCCCAAACATGCACATTACTGTCAATATATGGGCGTGTACACACCGTACCTGCCACTGGACTCCAACAAAGTACAAAATACATTGCACCATTTTGTACTAAAAAATATTTTTTTAATTGTCTATATTATGTTATGTAATTGTTATAATAATAGTTTTTTATTAATTGAAATCTTTTTTTTTTTGTATATATGTATATGATATGTTTTAAAATGTAATGTGTCAAATACCTGCTTTAAAATTCAACATGTAAAGACAACACAGTACAGACTCAGCAAAGCTGAACAACACTGTTTCGGGTTTTCCCCTCCACCCGCCATAACGGCCAGCCACGAGCCATTGCCTAAATAGAGAATGTACCCGAAGGTGGTGCCCGCGCCGTTGCGGACAGGCGCTTGGAGGGGTCAGGATGTCTTAATAACAGCAGTTCCCGGAGCCCTCCTATTACAGGCGCAGAGTGGCACACCCTGTGGTTTCAGTCGATCCGATTCCGACACACCACCCTGATGCAAACCCCGGTGCGATGACGGCCTGAGGGGTATCCACACGTAAAACAAAAACAAAGACAGGTATAAGAGATTTTCGATACGTATGTATTTAGTTTGCTAAATATTTGACAAAACGGAGATTGTTGCCAATATGTGTGTTGATCTATAACTACTGTATATGTACTAGAGACTACACAAGAGACGATTTCAATTTTTTTTTAATGATATAAAGATATTTGAGTTTGAGTCTGTTTGAAGTCGGTGCCAGGCCCGATGCACAATAAGTAATACTGGTCTATGCCAGGTTTATATTAGCACACTAAAAAATTAATATTTCAATATAATTCAAATGAAACATCGCAAATATTGTTAATTAATAAAGGCCAACCAGATCAAATATAATAATAATAACATAAGAGATGTGCGTAACCCACTTCAGCTCGTTCAGCATAAAGACTGTTGCAGCTGCCGCACTACATTATACCAAGCCTATCAAGCACCTGTTTAGCTTGGCACTGACTTCAAACAGTCTAGAAGGAACTATTGCTACTATAATGTTACCTGTTATATTGAGGGTACTTATTATAGTTGTTTTACTTAGATTTGTAATTATTTTTTTAATTTTTAGTGCTCTTTGTCAGTATTGTTTCAAGTCGGTTCAACTTTTTTTTAAAGAATTTTGAAGTATACTATTGCTGTTTGTTTTTTTTCTTCTATTGTTTTTTAGTCTATTTCGTTTTTCTCATATTTTTTATACCCCAAATGTTTTTGTTTATTTTTAGTGATTGAAGTTAATGATACTCGTATCTTAAATATTATTTTTATTCAACGTTTTAATTTTGCATAGAAATGTCTTGTATATATATAATGTTATAACGATTTCTGTGTTATAGGTTGAGAGCAATGAAACGCGCAAAGCGGTGGCAAACTAGCGAGGTTCAAATCTTAAGCACGCTGCACCTTACTTTTGTTATAAAAATGACGCCTGCCATACTTTAAAAAAGTGTTGAGCTTTACTTAGATATCATTTTAAAGATAGATGCTAATGTAACATAAACCAAATGTTAAATTAAACTTTGGCCTTTCCATAAATAAGACGCGCAAGCTAATGAATATTATTCAAAGGCACATCTTTTTCAGTATTTTTAAATATACTACTTTTAAACACTTATTTATTCAACATAAAAATAAAAATTATAATGTTAAATGACTATGACCTTATTTCCGCAGATCCTCATGTTGCAAGTGTCATGTCATACAAACGAAATACTTTTTATTTGGTCTATTTTAAATCCGGAAATAATTAAATTAGTCTAACTAAAGAATAATCTCTTTGATAATGTTTATACTGCGTAGATCTTCCGCCATTTGCGCCAAAGATATTAGATATCTTACTTTCAGCCAGTGATAATATGTTAGTCTATGGCGCAATGTAGCGAAGCGTTCGCAGTTGTAGAATTATTTCGTAACAGCTATTCAAATTAACAGTTAGATGTATAAATTTACCGCCTGCATAATTTGTATATTATATTATTTAAACAGCCTAAAATACTAACTATTTAGGATAAAATAATCATAATATCTATTTTCTTTAATATTATATATCTATATATAAATGATAGTATAAAATTTTAATTTCCAATTACATTATTGATTTGATAACTTACAAGCCAATTTGTTTTATTCCTACCTAGTCCACTAAGTCCGATTATCGATTCGATTAAAAAACATATATTATTTTATACTATATTAAACCACATAAAACTTATAATTAATTACTTACTCATTATTTATTTGTGTTTAACCAAAAAAAAACAGGCCTTTTATTTATCTAAGCATTTTGGTTACATCGATATTAATCCTTTTTGTTTTTTAACAGATGGCGTTAGTAGTAACAGTCCCGTTGATAAAATGTCTTACACATGTCTTATTTGATTTTATAATTTTCGATAGATGACGTTATAGTATTACAATAAGATTGTAATTAATAAAAATTGTAGTTATACAATAATTATTTTTATGATTGATAACACATCTAGACATGAATAGAAATAACCATGTCAAAGCCCAAACCAGAAAGTGTAAAAGTTTCTCAGTAAAGAGAACCACTAAATAGATTGTGGAATAGCGATAGGGCTCGCTTCGCTCGCCCTGATGAAAATCGATGCACGATAAAATGATTCTTCTCATTGAAATTATTTTCTACTTTTTAGTTTGGCTAGTTCCAAAGCGTGTGTTGTATTTACTTGTACTTGTATTTACGAGTATATACTGCTATTTTCTGTCCTTTTTAACAAGGACGTAATATACTCGTATGTGATGATTGTTGTGGGAGTTATGGGATAAAAGAAAATACCACAGTTATAATAACTTTATTTACAAAACAATATTTATATCTACTTAATAAACCTAGCCAAATCAATACACGAAATTCTCTAATCTGTCAGTCAGTAAATATATAAATAGGTCCCCATCTTCGAATTGCTATCTCCTATACGATTTTAGTTACCTACTTTAAATTTTGTACACATCATCATTTTACATCATATGGCGAAATCGAGTGTAATTAGTAGGTATAACATTTTACGAAAAGAACTTTCAAAATGTACATAAATATTTTCAAGTTAATGTTCAATCATTAGGTACCTAAGGATTGTAGTTGTCTAGTTCTGGATGTTTTTACTAGAGACTTGAAATTGGGCAGTTAAGGCAAAATCGATAAATTTAATTTTTTTAGTTATTTTTCTACTAAAGACCTGAAATGTGCAGAGAGATAAAGACATTTGGACATTTAGAACGGATGGAATAAGGGAGTCTAAGCGTTTGCCAATTTATGAGAAAATTCGTGGTTTTCTAATAGAGATATATAGGGTTAATAAATAAGGTTGTAAGATTTTTAAGATTGTTGACAGATCTTTTAAAGACATGTTTTACAACTATGTCAGGAAAGAACAGGCACTAACCTAAAAAAATAATTATTAAACAATTAGATGTTACCATATCCAATATCAGAACAATTTACCAAACAACCAACTTTAAATGGTTTGTACCTACTTATTTGCTATAATTTGGGAATGCGTTTTTTTAAACATTTAAAAAAAAAGCGCAATACGTTAATAAATAACCGTATGATGTGTTGGGTTGAACAGTTTGGGTAACAGCCAGTTGATTCACAAATCTGAAACAAAAACAAATTTGAATTAATTCGGTGCTCAAACGACAACCATGACAAATGTCGGTCAGGATTATGGGTAGCGTCCATTACGTCCATCTCAAGGAAATATTGGTATGCTCATATTATACCTACCCCATCCATAAACAAGCTCATTGTACTAAAGTTAATTCATTCGCGTTTTATAATTAATAACACAATTAATTCATCATCATCAACAGCCTTTAATAGTCCACTGCTGGACATAGGCCTCCCCTTAGAAAGGAGGTTTTGGCCTACTATACCACGCTGGCCAGACGGGTTGGTATAGGGTTTGTTTCAAGTTTTCCTTCTCTCTGCAGTGTTGTTGTCCTGCGTAGTTTTCTCCCTTAGTCGCCTCTTACGACACCCACGGGATGAATAGGGGTGGTGACACTCTGTATTCTTAATCCGTCACCACACGGACACAATTCATTAATACCGGTCATATGATCAGTCAGCCTGTGGCCGAGGATATTTAATACGTATTCGGTACATGATCTTAACATGAGTTTAACTAATGTGGAAGCATGGAAATGTACCCTCGAAGCAAAGCTGTTACATTCCAAAATACATTTACCAATTAGACATCTACTCACCAAGAACAGTTTCAATGGTGAACGAAATAAGAACCATGACAACGAAGCCGATGAACCCGCAAGTGAACTCCAAAAGTCCGCTGTTATTCTTCCACACTTCGAAGAACACTACGTACATTAATGTACCACAAGCAATTCCCTGTAAATGTAAATAAAATATTTATTTTATATTTATCAAATACTATTTGAGCATTAAAGTGATCATCATATCTATCTTGGAGAAGCAAAAAAGATAAACGAGAAAGGAGCAATGAAAAAGCGCCGCACTTTTAACACCAACTATAATCCATCTAATTTAAAAGGTACCGTTTGACGTTTCATACTTTCAAGCCAAAACAACTTTGTATTGAAATAAACTTTTCCGTAAATTCATGGAATTATGAAGCCATTTCTATTCTATCACCAGATGTACAATAATACCGTAGTGTTGTGTCTCTTCAAATCCCCTTGTATACGAATAATCGTTACGAATACGATACGAATAATGTAAGAATAATCGAACTTATTTGCGTAAATTATTAATTATTTGTTTCATATCTATTTGTGGCCTTGTTCGCTTTAAGACAGATTCAGACAGATCTACAGTCATGTTGAAATTGTCTATGTCAACACATATCTAAAGATGACAAAAACAGTTGCAAGCCATTATCGCCCTGAAAGGCTATAAACAGTAGTAGTTCTATAAACGTGTATTTTGGTGTCTACAAATGGCGCTAATTTCGAATATTAAAAAAGGAAATTTATTATTATTTCTATCATTTATGTGTGATGAATATTTAAAAAAATAACTGCAAGCAATTATTGACCTAATGAAGATCATTTAAAGATGCAAAAATACACGTTTTAAGAGAAATATCATTAAGGGCGAAAGTTGCTGATAACAGTTTTTTTTTAGATGTACATATATGTTGCTTACCATAAAATTAGGTGCATGGTGTTTTTCGATCTATTTTGCCATTTAATATGACTGAGATTGTTGACAATCATATGTTACTGAAACTAGACCTTGTGTTTTTATTTGTCTTTTGTGTGTAATTGTTTTTATAAATAATCATTTGTTTTTACAGATCATCATTTGTCTACATTACTTACATAGATTTACTAGTAAAACGATATAATAATATATAGGCTTATACAGTAACATATATAAATCTATAATCTGTAAACCGATTTGTAAATACAAAAGAAATGATATTAATTTCTCTTAAGAATCGGATATTGTAGCAATCGATTTCTTTGACCCCACCTTATTCTTCATTCTGTCAGAACTGTCAAACGGTATCGCTTAGATTAGATGGATATATGGATGGATGGATGGATGGATATAATAGGAATAGACCTCAAGATACGGATTCCAATCCATGTCACAACTGAAACACATTTCGACGTCGAATAGCTTGCAAGATCTCGCCATTACATTGATTTAAAGTAGGTAGTTACTGATTTAACGCGCTTTTTTAATAATAAATTGTTTCGAATATCTTTTACATTTATTTTGATATAAATGGAACCAAGCTTGAGTATGTACTTACAATCAATTTAAAAAAATTAAATATATTGCTTACGATAGGTAGGTACAGTTAAAATTAAGAGCCGCCTCCTTTTTGAAGTTGGCACGATAGTACCTAACTTCTTAGCTCTTAACATTATTCAGTCTCGTCTAGTTATAACGAAAATGCACACAGAACGAGAAGTATACCTGAACATAATTCATTTACGAGTTATTTATCATTACTTATCATGAAATTACGTCTAACACTCACTTGTAAAATAACAGAATAAATGCCCGCTTCAGCTGCACCTGCGCCGCCAACCATTAGAATACCAATGGCGATACCCAAAGCTGACATGAAAGAGTACGTAAACACGTACACAATGGACAACCACCGCTTCGTGCCTGCTGCTACGAGCTCCACACCGATGCAGAACCCGATTATGTACTTGTGGGCTGACACTGCTCCAAACATGTACCTGAAGACATAAAAGATTTTATATTAAATTTAAAAAAAAAGCGAGACTCAAATTTAGCATGTTGCAATTCTATTATTTCTCGGGGAACCGTCATCGAGAGTCGAAACAAAATCGTGTCTGAAATTGAAACTTCCTTTCAGATTGGGGCCAACTAAATCTAGTCCACTTTAACCAAAAAAAGACACAGGTTTGTGCGTTCACCGCAGTGAAGATCCCATTTGTCTTATCACCTCGGTTTGAGAGAACTTCCCTAACTGCGTCAGCCAGTAGGTATCGGTATTCCAGGCTTCGACATATCGAGCGAAGTCTAGTTTCGGGTGCTTAGTGCTTAGCTTAGTGCTTTTCAATACACTTTTTGACTCGCACAGCCAATCAAACTCAAAGTCAAATAATTTCATTATAAATGAAATGTAAAAAGTCCTCATCGATCCGACACCTGGTTTTTTTTTACTCGGGGTCAAAGGTCACAAAAACGAGTTTCTTGTGATTTTCAGCAAAACGGTAAGTTTCATCATAAAATTAGCCCAGAAAAAAATGTAGATCAAATAATATCAATAAAAATTTCCGGGTTTTAAAAATTTTTCGGTTAATTATCTATAAAAATGTTTTCAGCTGGGTGCGAATTTTTGCAACCTCGGATGTCTAAATTGACCGGACGAGGAAAATGTATATTGGCGAAAAGCTACGTTTTTGCAACTTTAACAGCAAATTACAAAATAATGTACAATTATTTTGGTCACAGCTTATTACTGCTACTTTGAAAAATCGCCAGATATCTATTACCGGGCTTGCGCAGACAATTAATCTTTTAGTCTTTGACCGCTGCTCCGCTCGCATGTAATCTTTTTAATAGTAAATCTCTATCTCACGATGACCTACGATTCTTTTTCAACGCCAAACAATATTGGTGTCTAATATCGTATCGTTCATTGACATAGAATTATAAATCAATTATCGAATGTTTTGTATAAGTATTATATATTTAAGGGGATAAATATACACGGTGATTTTGAAAGCGTTTTGGAAACGAAATATTTGAATTTGGAATCATCTATAGTACCAATAAAAATGATTAAATCAATTGTAATGTTGTCTAAAAAAAAGTTTCAGTTTTAATATTCATTTTTACTCGATCGACTTGGAAAGTAGTAATGGACTGATCGTTCATTCATTATCTTATATGAATGAAACACGTCCGTGGGCGTTTCGGCGGCCGCTGCGCACCGCCGACGCTAACAGCAGCTGACAAAACTATACCTATAGGCGCGAGCTAGCGAGTACTTACGTAGATAGACTCCAATTTGTCCTTCATACTTTACACGGGCTTAGGACCGTCAGAAATACCTATTTTATTTAAACTTCTTTTCGATTATTAACCACGATTGTTCTTTTCACAACAAATCAATTTATCAACGGACTGTAGGTATAAATATTTCAGGCGTATTTAAAAAATCGGAGCTATCTACAGAATAATTAACTTACATACCTATTTACACTATTTACAGTTCTCTGTATCGAAGGAACTGCTCAAAATGGAGTCCGCTGCATTCAATACACAAACGTCCACGTTTAATGCAATTGTTTTTTAATTTTCTTAATGTGTCTCTATCACTTTTCACTTTAAAGCGTCCACTATCGCAATGCGTAAATTATCACGGCTTTCATATTCCCGTGTATTAACAAGTCTTTTTATTTCCGACCATAAGAAAAAATCCAGGGGCGTTAAGTCCGATCACTAAGCTCATTGTCCAGGTATGCACGCACTACACTCCGGCGAATAATAATTAAAACGTCCTTGACCTTGCGCATGAGTAGGCGCACGAAATTGTCCGTGGTCGAGAAGACGTTGGGTTGCAGCCAAGATAGTAGGTGTGGAGGGAATTTGAGGGCTTTCAATTCCACGTAGCCGTAGTGCATTTAAATGCTCCGGCTTGGGAATACAAACGCCGAGCCTCTTCCAAGTTGTAGTTGGCAGTAGCGTACAGCTGTACCATTGCCAAGAAGTATTCCACGTTTGAAAATTCGTACTGTCGACTCATTTTAGCGCTAATCAATGCAGCGTGCCATCACGATGTTATGGTATTACTGACCGACTGACGATGACAGGTGAGCCCCGCGCATGCGCCTACGGGGCAGACGTCATTGGTTGGACGACTCCGGCGCAACTCGGTAGCTTTGTTTTTATTGGCGAATACGATTTGATGTGACACGCATAGTATTTCTATTCGTAGTATTTACCTACGTGTGATTGAATAGCCTACTACTACTGGTTCTGACTTTTTCTCTGTAAACGATATGAATATCGACTTTGATGATAAAAAAAAAACATATTTTATTAAATTAACGTTATATATAGCTTCTGTTACTGATAAATAACTCAAAATTTTCTTTTCCAAAACGCTTTCAAAATCACCGTGTAGACAGACGACTACAATCTTATCAAAGAATATTAAAAATAACATCGAATTATCTAATCTGACAAGTGTACCCATACTTATTGCAAATTAAACACAAGTGTTTCCGGTTTTTAATACATTGATAGCAAAGTGTAGTTTTTTAAATTTGGCAATGTAATACATGTAGTAAGTGGTGTTTACATACTAAAGTGACTACATTCAAGTATTTTATTGCTTTATAAATCTGATAGGGTAATGTGTATGTCTGTTTATTTGCAAGTAGATGGTTCATCATCCACCGCAGTCCACTGACAGACCAGGCCTCTCCCATTGCCCGCCACGCCATTGATGTACGTTTGACTTAGTCAAAACCTTGTTATGCTTAATGTATCTCATTAAGTTGGTGGTACATAAGGCACATGGACCCTATATGAAACCCAAAGGATCGAGTACGTAGGGAAGTCCATTTTCTTATATGTAATGTACCTACTCTGTAACCACTCATTCATATTTTACTAATCACGACATCTGGGGACTTGTTTGACCTATGACGATGATTTTTTATGTGGAGCCAGAAGATGTTAAGTATTCAGCCAAGAAAGGAATTTACAACAGGGTCATTTTAAGGAGTTTAAGTTTTTTTTATATTAGAGGGTCGAGCAGACGGGTCACCCGATGGAAAGTGACTATCGCCGCCCATGAACGTCTGCAACTCAGAAGTCAGAAAGGAAGCCTTTTAGGAAGGAGTACGCTCTTTTTTTGAAGGTTTGAAGGTCGTATCGGTCCGGAAATACCGCAGACGATAACCCGTTCCACAAATAAATCGCCAACTATCCAGGTAATGAGGATGAAAATTTTGCAGTGTGGAACGATGGCGGAAATTTGCGGCTGGTATTAGTCCGAACAATTCCTCGGAGCACTCTCCATGATATATGCGATACAGAATGCAGAGTGAAGCCACATCTCTACGTAACGCCAAGGGATCGAGCCGATCGGAGATGTTTGGGCTATCGACGATTCGAGTCGCTCTTCGTTGGTTGCGGTCCAGAGGGAGAAGCTGGTACTGAGGTGCCTCTGAATAGAAATGAGAACAGTATTTCATATGCGGCCGGACTTGCGCCTCATAGAGCTGAAGGCCGTGGGCCGGAGTGAAATACTGCCTCTTCGAGGCCAATTTGACCTTACCCTCTAAGTAATAATAATACTAATCTACCACATTCACACAACGCCATCTGCTTGAACTATGGCTACTAGACAACTGATATAAATACATATATACTTTTTTTTTGTAAATACATACATATTATACATAGAAACACCCAGACCAAATCAAACATTAAATGTTCATGCACACAAACGTTTGACTTGAGCGGGAATCGAACCCGCGACCTTTGGAATAGCAGTCCGTTACACAAACCACCACGCCATCCGGTCGTCTGTGACCCCCAAAACTGGAAGAGTTTAAAAAAGTACGAGGGCGGGTCAAAAAGTCCGTGACTTTTGGAATAAAACACAGATTTTTTGATAAATAAATCATTTTAATTTTCAACGTAGTCTCCCTTGAGCTCTATACACTTTGTCCAACGCTTCTCCAATTTTTTTATCCCTTCCAAAAAATATGATTTGTCGAGGTCCTCAAAATAGGCCTTTGTTTGCGAGATGACTTCATCATTGGAGTAAAATCTTTTTCCACCAAGCCATTTCTTCAGGTTTGGGAACAAGAAGTAGTCACTCGGAGCCAAATCTGGAGAATAGGGCGGATGATTGAGCAATTCAGAGACCAATTCATGGATTTTTGCCATGGCAACTGCACATGTGTGCACTCTTGCATTGTCTTGATGGAAAAGAACTTTTTTCTTGGCCAAATGAGGTCGGTTTTTTTTCAAATCGTCATTGAATCGGTCCAATAAGTTGGCATAATATTCCCCATTGATTGTTCTTCCCTTTTGAAGGTAGTCAATGTGGATTATCCCGCGTGCATCCCAAAAGACAGTCGCCATAACTTTATTGGCTGACAAACCCACCTTGGCCTTCTTTGGCGCCGATTCACCCTTAGAAACCCACTGTTTTGACTGTTGTTTGGTCTCTGGTGTGTTGTGATGAATCCATGTTTCGTCCACGGTTACAAAACGGCCCAAAAACTCCTCCATATTGCGATTAAACAACGCCAAACCTTCCTGTGAAGTTGTAACACGATTGCGTTTGTGGTCGACTGTGAGCAATCGCGGCACCCATCTTGCGGAAAGCTTTCTCATGCCTAAGTGATCATTCAAAATTGAAACCACTGAGCCATGCGAGATCCCTACCGCTTCCACAATCTCTTGCACTTTCAATCTTTGGTCGGCCAACACCATATCGTGAATTTTTTCGATTGTTTCGGGTGAAGAGACCTCAACTGAGCGTCCAGGACGTTCGGCATCTTCAGTGCTTGTACGGCCACAACGAAATTCAGTAAACCACTTTTTTACCATTGAAATCGATGGGGCAGAGTCCCCATAGTATTTATCAAGCTTAGCCTTGGTCTCGGTAATGGTTTTTTTTCGCAAAAAATAATGCTCAATAAGCACACGAAATTCACTTATTTTCATTTTTCCCTCAAATTAC